CTCTCCCATTGCAGATGAGTGTCTATAGAGTCAAATTCCTTCTACCCCACAAGCAATTATGCTACTTATGCAACATTCAAACAGCAGATCCTGAGAACAAGGGAGAGGTATGTCCACAACAACATACACTGTTTCTATAGCCTGGTGGTTCTGGTACATACTTGGGATGTAGATGCAAGGCCCTGATCTAAACCAGGCAGAATGGAGATGAGCTGAACTCCTATATCACAGGGGAGCGCCCTAACCATCAACTGCCTGTTGGCTATCTTGCCGTGTGTGCACACATTTTAGATATTCCACTGGAAATCTGAGAAAGGTCTCAGGTTCATCCTGATGCAAAATAGGAAAACATCTGAAATCTTGGAGTTCTGAGAGACGGAAAACTATGTCGAATCAGCTCAACTTTGCTCAGATCCTATTCTCTACCAAACAGCAAGTAGCACCACAATTTCACATAAATTAAATGCATTTTAATCTGAAGTAAAAAATCACTAAGTTGGTACAACAGTTGTGCAAACTATGTTTTAGCTCATAAATGTGGTCTGGTGTTACATTACATCACCTGGGAACATGTTGTTAGCAAATATTAAGGTCCTCTACACGATGCCTTGTAGGCACAGAGGTGGCTGTCTGAATTACTATCTACCTTTAGGATCAGCATGAGTTAACTGTGGCAGACAGAACTCTTACCCCATTGTAATTGCTGTCTAAACCACAAGTTATATGTGCAACCAATTGCAAATGGATTAAATGTGCCAGAATTTTCCAGGTACACTTTTGAAACATCAGGGATTATTTTGAACTAGTCCTCCTTGAACCAACCCAATGCTACGTGTGGAGACCAGGCTTTCTGTGACTAATGTCTTTTCAGTCCTCCAGGCATCCCACCCTACACTATTCCTCTCCTCCTATGGCATGGCAAATAGCTACATTGGTAGGCAGCCACAACTCTATTGCCCCAACCTGTATTGCCTGCACTTTCATAGATTCATAGATTCATAGATGGTAGGGTCGGAAGGGACCTCAATAGATCATCAAGTCCGACCCCCTGCATAGGCAGGAAAGAGGGCTGGGTCTAGATG